AGTGTCTTTCACCGTAAAGGGAATGTCTCACATTTAAAGGTATTAAAGTAAGCATCAGATATGATGAAACAGGCTCTCTTATAACTGTTGGTAGACTTTTTAAGTGAAAAGACTGCTCTAGACTGCACAATTCTCTGTTTAGTAGAAGTGCTCCTCAATGCGTCATGATTTGATTAGGTCATCGTACCTTGCACAACACTTATGGAGAGCCATTTGACAGCCGAGATATCTGGATATCGCGCTCACGAACGCCAGATATGAACGCCTCGACAACTATATTTTTGTTGGCCTTGATTGCTGCATGGCTTACGGAATAACAGGATTTGAATGCCGATATTATGACGTCACGAATGCCAAGATGACTGAAATACCTTCTCAGCTATACCTTTCCCCATTTTCGCTGGCGTGTGGCTCAGAAACTAGAGGGGCTTAGGTCCTAAGAAGCACAGGACTGTGATCAGCACCGGAAGGTCTTCAAGAGGGCTATTTCAGTTCAAAACCCCATAAAATTGTGAAACACTTCCATAACTCACACCTCGCCTGCGCCTCACGCAGCAAACTCACATCTTACCGACGTCACAGCCGTGCCTTACTCGCATCTTGCTCACACCCGTCATGTGCCGCACTCACACCCCATCTACGCCTTGTTTACAAATCACCTACCCCTCGCTCATATCTCAGTCACATTCCTGTCACAGTTCACACCCCACTCACATCTCATTCGCATCTCACTCAGACATAACGCACACCTCAATTCCTTTTATTCCAAACGGACTACATCAACCTCCCAAAACGACCCATCTTAGCAAACTTCTTAAAACACGCAGGCAATTTGGACAGGTGCGCGACATTTGTGAAGTCAAGTGAAGGAAGCAATGCCGACAAAGCAAGGGCCGCATTCAGGCATGAGGAGGCTAGCGGGGTACGAACGACCCCATGACAGGCCCGCGGGCGTACTGAAGACCCCCTAGCTCTACAACTCTCCCGGTACCCATGTCATGACAGGCCCGCGGGCGTACTGAAGACCGCTCACCCCGAACAGCTCTGATCTCTGAACTCTCCCGGTACCCATGTCATGACAGGCCCGCGGGCGTACTGAAGACCACTCACCCCGAACAGCTCTGATCTCTGAACTCTCCCGGTACCCATGTCATGACAGGCCCGCGGGCGTATGGAAGACCGCTCACCCCGAACAGCTCTGATCTCTGAACTCTCCCGGTACCCATGTCATGACAGGCCCGCGGGCGTACTGAAGACCGCTCACCCCGAACAGCTCTGATCTCTGAACTCTCCCGGTACCCATGTCATGACAGGCCCGCGGGCGTACTGAAGACCACTCACCCCGAACAGCTCTGATCTCTGAACTCTCCCGGTACCCATGTCATGACAGGCCCGCGGGCGTATGGAAGACCGCTCACCTCGAACAGCTCTGATCTCTGAACTCTCCCGGTACCCATGTCATGACAGGCCCGCGGGCGTACTGAAGACCGCTCACCCCGAACAGCTCTGATCTCTGAACTCTCCCGGTACCCATGTCATGACAGGCCCGCGGGCGTATGGAAGACCGCTCACCTCGAACAGCTCTGATCTCTGAACTCTCCCGGTACCCATGTCATGACAGGCCCGCGGGCGTACTGAAGACCGCTCACCCCGAACAGCTCTGATCTCTGAACTCTCCCCGGTACCCATGTCATGACAGGCCCGCGGGCGTATGGAAGACCGCTCACCTCGAACAGCTCTGATCTCTGAACTCTCCCGGTACCCATGTCATGACAGGCCCGCGGGCGTACTGAAGACCACTCACCTCGAACAGCTCTGATCTCTGAACTCTCCCGGTACCCATGTCATGACAGGCCCGCGGGCGTATGGAAGACCGCTCACCTCGAACAGCTCTGATCTCTGAACTCTCCCGGTACCCATGTCATGACAGGCCCGCGGGCGTACTGAAGACCGCTCACCTCGAACAGCTCTGATCTCTGAACTCTCCCGGTACCCATGTCATGACAGGCCCGCGGGGCGTACGGAAGACCGCTCACCTCGAACAACTCTGATCTCTGAACTCTCCCGACACCGATTTGCCCACGGTATCTATGTATTCCTAAAGGCACGCTTGGCTAGCCCCGATCTTTGAACCATTTCGGGGTCCGTGGCGTTTCCGAGGTGCTTTATATATATTTTCATTCCTTTCGAGCCACGCGGGCTTTTTCACCGCCTCAGCGCCATGAGCTTTATTTTGGATTGTCCTATGCCATTTTGAGTCACAAAGATGATGACATAACGTCACTTAAGGGTAACGAACCATCTGGAAGGAATATTTTCGTGTACCGGGAAAGGGCTAATGTTCATATTTCAAGAACGTTCCGTGATCTATGTCCCAAGCGGTCCCCGTTCGAGCACGTTATTCCTCCGCTTGGTGAATAAATTGGTCCTAGACTGCATCCAATGCACCAATAACTAGTAATTGCGTGTTGTCCATCAAACGGTGGTCTCTGAAGGCCGAAGGCCTTAGTAACAGTCTCAAATGAAGTGACAGTACTCTGGTCGCCGTCTTGGAGTCCGGCTAGTGTTGGAGTCTTGGATGTCTTGGAGTCTCGGAGTTAAGTGTTTCTGTCTCATTTTAACCGTGCAGGGATCTTTTACACATCAGAACGACTCGACGGTCTGAGGCTGTTCTCAGAAACCCATGATTTTATTGATACCTCATGAATGTCTGAGGTTCCAGAGCCGCTCAAGTGCCGTTTACTGCATCAAAGACGTTTCAGCATCTCTTAGACTCAATCCTTTGCTGGGCACCTTGTTTGAGCACGATTCTGCAAGAATAAAATGATTTTGAGGGGAATGGCGATCCTGCCTCGTTTGTCTTGTGAACTGTTTGAAAGAGTCTCTTCGGTCCGCTGTCTCTCACAGTTCTGCATTGCTTATAGTTTTGCCCGTCTCCTCCTTAGAGCTGAACCATTCAAACAAACTTAATATCGTCAACGGACAGCTAGGATAGGATGGATAGGAGACTGCTAGTTGACATCGATATTGGGAAGAGTCGCCGCAAGGGATTCGGAGCCCTCGGGTGTTGAGAGTCTCTGGTGACGGGGCATGGGCCTGGAAACGGTTATGAACCCCGAAGGGACGACAAAGGCGTTGCGGTCAATGGGCCCGACGTTTAAATGACTCGGAGATAGTCAGTGACTCTGTGACCAGGCCGAGCGGATTCGTGATGTTCAGGGATGGAGAAGGTGAAGGTTAGGGAAAGGTTATCCAAAAGGCATCGACAGTCCGGAGGACTATTGTTTGGAAAAATCGATGTAATTTTTTGATTTCCTGTTTGAAAAACACCTAATATTTTAGGTGACCGGTTCAGTGAAATTCCATGATGCCGCGCGTCACAGCCCGTTTTTTGTTGACAGTGGCTTCCAATGGCTATTCCTATATGGCTGCATACGTCTTTTTGGGGAGGAGAGTGGGATGACATGCCCCCTTTTTCCGAAGTCGACACTGTAAAGAACACGCTTATGCCCAGTTTTAGAGCAACTCTCCATACATGTCCTGGTCCCTCAATGCGTAACGCAAAAAATCGAACAGTTGCCATAAAAAACGGCAAAAGAACTTAGAATTTCGAGGTTATCCATTCCTTGGTCATAAATCACAATGAATCACACGATCAATCACATGAATCAGTTCAGTGCAGATGCGCTTCTGCCTACGTACGAACCATCCTAGCTTGCAAACCCTACCTCGCGAGCATCGTGCTGAGAGCTCCAGAGCCAGGTATCGCTATACTGCAGAGACCCACCACCGGGGTGTAGCTGGACCGCAGGAGGGTGGGCCACTGCGGGGTGGCTGGCGAACAACGCGGCCTGCCCGGCTCGGCCTGAGCCCAGCGCTGCGCCCGACGGTCCGTCAGCGCCGGCCGACAGTCCGCGCTGGTCGTACGTCAACGGATTGCGCTTGATTTGATAATGCGGTCTGCACGACCGCTTATAATCAGGGGCGATGCAGATAGCTGGCCTGGCGTTAGTGCCGTGTTGCCCCTACTCTCACCCCGGCCCTGGATCGCTCTCATGACCACGGCCTTGGAGTTGCTGCACTGCCAAGCGTGCGGAATGCGATGTCGCACACATGTTCAGTGCAAAGCTGTATCTTGGATCCTGACCGCTTAGTGTTTATCCCAAGCTTCGGGGTTGAGAACGTAGTAGACCCAAAACAGACTGGGAACATTCCTACCGTTTGTTCATGCGCTAGTCATGTTGTCACAAGCATGGGCCCTGCCCTTCTCACATTAAACTTGCGTCTGTTGCCTCTGCGGAGTGTAATTCTGGAGTACGGATCTGGATCTTGTAGAGTGCGGATCCGAATCCTGTGGAGTGCGCATCTGGATTTTGCCGAGTGCGTGTGTGGATGCTATGGAGTGCGGATCTAGATTCTGTGGGGTGTGGATCCTGTGTTGACATACCACATGGCTGGCCTCCTGTTGCTGTCCTACTGATCGGGCATGCCACTCCGCTGACCAGACACGACACTCCGCTGATCGGACACGACACTCCGCTGACCAGACACGACACTCCGCTGACCGGACACGACACTCCGCTGACCAGACCCATTACCGAGCCCACCAACACGTTGCCCCCTTGACCAGTGCGTGGCCCAGTTAACCTAATTTATCGCCCTAATCAGGAGATATTGGCTGTTAAGGCCGCTGTTGGCACGGAACACCATAAGCATAATGCTAAACTCCGCACGTCTGAGGAACGCGTCTCCTCTGCCCCCCCCCCCCCTCCCCGTATACCGATGAGGCTCATGGTCATGCAGAGCTGATGTGCTCTCACCCTGGTGAGATGACCGGGTTTCCTGCTGACATGAGCTGCACCACAGTCTTGACCTCACATGATGCTGCAGCATTGCCCACCTGGAAGGTAAGGCAAGCTGTCCTGCTGACATGTTGCATCACGCCGCTGCCGTGACCTGTACCCGGCCGGCTGACCTGACTGGCGCCCGTTCAACCGCAGCCGCCCGGCCCTGCTCGCTCACCTGCAGCCTGCCGGCCGCTCGTTCTACGTCACGCTGCGCCGCCGAGTCCGTGATGGTACACGCTGCAACCCGGACGGGGGCGAGGACCGGGACGACCACGTCTGCGCCGCCGGACTCTGTCAGGTCAGTCAGCCCAGGACCGGGAAGACGACGTCTGCGCCGCCGGAGTCTGTCAGGTCAGTCAGTCCGGGACCGGGAAGACCACGTCTGCGCCGCCGGACTCTTGTCAGGTCAGTCAGCCCAGGACCGGGAAGACCACGTCTGCGCCGCCGGACTCTGTCAGGTCAGTCAGCCCAGGACCGGGAAGACGACGTCTGCGCCGCCGGACTCTGTCAGGTCAGTCAGCCCAGGAACGGGAAGACCACGTCTGCGCCGCCGGAGTCTGTCAGGTCAGCCAGTTCGGGACCGGGAAGACCACGTCTGCGCCGCCGGAGTCTGCCAGGTCAGTCAGCCCAGGACCGGGACGACCACGTCTGCACCGCTGGAGTCTGTCAGGTCAGTCAGTCCAGGACCAGCTGGACCACGTTTGCGCCGCCGGAGCCTGCCAGGTCAGTCAACTCAGGACCGGGACGACCACATCTGCGCCGCCGGAGTCTGTCAGGTCAGTCAGTCCAGGACCGGGACGACCGCGTCTGCGAGGAACGTCAGGACTTGCGAGGCTTATGTCTACTATAGTGGTCAGGTACCTGCTGTTATGGTAATTAGGTGGATGGCGCTGTAGCTACACTGGGGGACATACCACCGCGGGCAGGTTCAAACAAAAATGTAGAGTCCGAGAAATCACCGGTCAGAGTGGCGCCCGATGCCGGCAGTTCCGAGGCTCGCGGTCGGGACTGCGGCCTGCATGATACGGTGAACGCTTCTGGTTTTCAACCGCCTGACAACGGGGTGTCCAAAACCAGTTCCAGTGAGAAAAACGCACCACCCGCATGCAGATGCCAGCTCGGTTAGCGAGCCGTGTGCCGTGTTTCCGCGCCGGAGCGGCGCCGCCGGGCTGGGCACCGCTGTTTTCCTGGTGGTGACGCGGCGGTGCCGGGAGGGCGGCGGCCGGCGGCAGCCCCCTCCCCTCGTCGGCCGGCCCGGCATACAACACCGCCACCGGACACCGGGCCTGGGCGGCACCGGTCACCGCGTCACTCCGCGCCACAATTAGCCGCGGCCGCCGTGCGCGCGGCGCGGCTGGCCAATCGCCGCAGGGGGTCCGGTCAGCTGGAGCGAGACGCACGCTGGCGCGCCACAGGACCGGACGGGGCGGGGCCCAGCCGCTCACCTCCCCGACCAACCACCATCGGACTGTCCTGTGCGTGACCTTTACGTGATTCAGAAGATGAACTCACTGGGTCGCCAATGCCCGCCAGAAAGGCAGATGTTTACGTATGGGCTAGGTAGGTCTGTGTTTGTAGATGTTTCTTCCAGTGTTCGCCAGTGTCGGTGCCTGAGCCTCTGAAATGGACCTTGACGTTCTCAGTGCTCTGGCCCGCAAGATAAGACACTAAAAAAGACACTTAAAAGTCTAAGCTAAGCCTGCAACCTAGTGAATTTTCATCTTGATCATGCCAGACCAGTAGTGCAGCCAAGGAGGGGGAGGGACTCATGGGGCTTTAAAGCCCCCCCCCCCCCCCCCGTCCGTCTCGAGGACAGTTCCTCACCACGACACTACCAAATCTTATTCCGGAATCCCTACACCGCTCACCCACACTCACCACCACTCACCCGAACCCACACCACTCACTCACACCTACACCATTCACCCATACCCACGCCACTCACCCACACTTACCACCCCGCACCCACATCCACACCAATACCACTCACCTACACTAACACCACTCACCCACACTCACGCCACTCACCCACACCCACACCCACACAGACACGAACATGGGGAGGCGAAACAGGCGCAGACTAATGCATACCTTCCTGATTGTATACATAACACGAACACCGGCGACGGCAAGCGTTTTTTCCGAGTTTGGAAAAGGCACACGATTGATTAGATAGAAAGGAAGTATGAGATGAAGGATGAATGAAGTATGAGAGAGATCAGCAACCATTCCCAGTACTTTGAAATAAGACCGGATTAGCAGCATGGCTCGGCTTTTGGCCATTTCGCCCCTGTCCTAGCCTGACCTGACCCTGTCCTCAGCGAGAGGTGGGCGCCCCAGACCGGGACGCTACTTCATGTGCACTGTCCTTCTAAATTGCTGCAAACACAACATCACAACACTGGTGCAGTGGTGGGCGGCCAATGGACAGTATACGCCAGCAGCAGATGCATGGAAGTCATGAGATGCAGAGAGTTACGCGTTGCAAGATCCTGGAAGGTGTGCCTGGAGAGTCTTCCAAGATGACTCGCATGCCGAATATTTACAACATTTATGCGAGCATGCATTAGTCGGCTCGTCTGCTTAGCTGCCAGCGTTGGCGGCCACGGAGTGACATGTGCAGACGGCTAGTGCACAAGCGTGAGCACAGGAAGTGCGATGAATAGTGTCACACGTTAGAGTAGTGTCCCGTCACACGTTACCTGGTGCCGCCGGTCGTCTGCCAGCAATGTGTCGTGGCTGAGCTGGATGGGTCCTCAACGGGGACATCGGCTTATCCACGGAGCCACGGGCTTGTCCCAGCCACCGAGCGTCCTGACCTGACCTGACTGCGCCTTGGCTCTGCCGTGTCAGCTGGGCCGGGGCACCGACCCAGTCCTAGCCTGACCTGACTGCGCCCTGACCCTGCCGTGTCAGCTGAGCCGGGGTACCGATCCAGTCCTAACATGACCTGACTGCGCCCTGACCCTGCCGTGTCAGCTGGGCCGGGGCGCCGACCCGGTCCTTACCTGACCTGACTGTGTTCTGACCCTGCCGTGTCAGCTGGGCCGGGGCGCCGACCCGGTCCTAACCTGACCTGACTGCGTTCTGACCCTGCCGTGTCAGCTGGGCCGGGGTACCGACCCGGTCCTAGCCTGACCTGACTACGCCCTGACCCTGCCGTGTCAACTGGGCCGGGGTACCGACCCGGTCCTAGCCTGACCTGACTGCGCCCTGACCCTGCCGTGTCAGCTGGGTCGCGGCACCGACCCAGTCCTGACCTGGCCTGACTACGCTCTGACCCTGCCGAGTCAGCTGGACCGGGGCGGCAGCCTGGCTCTGACCTGACCTGACCTGACCGCGCCCTGACCTGGCCGTGTCAGCTGGGTCGGGGCGCCGACCCGGCCCGTGTCGGCTCAGACGGGCGTGACCCAGAGGCACGCCGGACACTACTCAGCTCTGCACCTCACCCGGGCCGACGCGCCCGTGACGTTACCGTTCCGTCAGCGTCAGCGCTCACGCGTGCGTCGTGACCTCATCGTCAGCGCTCAGCTGTCGGCCGCGGTCGGCGGCGCTCCTCAGCGTCTGGTTTGTCGATACTAGCTGGGAGCAGCGCGACCGGGGCTTAGCCAATACAAGTGTACGGGCAGCAACATAAACTAGCTCTCCTCCAGGGCCATAATAAGACATTTGACAGCAGCTGAAAGGGCCTTCACCGCGGGTGTCATACCTAAAGGGAGACAGCGGACGGGCGCGGTTTATCTGCCGTGGCAGGGATGTCAGCTGACGACAAGTTACGCACCAGACGTGAACGGAACCGGCGACGGGTGGCCTGTTCAGAAGTCTCCATTGGGCGCGAAAGAATGCCGCCGGCCACCCAAGCAGCTTCTGAACGGCGAGTCGGAACGGTGATTGTACCCTGACATCTACAGAGCGTTGTGGGAAGCTTCAGTGTAAGATAGTGCGGTGAGGGGGCGCTATCCGTTGCGTTGGTCGGTTGGAACGTGGTGCCGAAGACCGGTTTAATTTTCCATCAGTTCTTACGTAATCAGCACTTCTTAGAATGCAATGATCCATCTGAAATGCACACACAAATGTTCGAACGTAATCCCTGAACTTCTGCGGTAGTGAATCGGTCTTGTATGCTATTTGTTGGGTTCCAAATGTCACTTCATTCACTTTGAGGGAGGGGAAGGGCCCCCATTGCTGCTTTGACCCCCGACGCCCCCTGAGCCTCCAATGCGTGGAAAAAGTAACGTAAAGTTGGGTCAGGAAAATTTTGCAAAACTTTCCTCAACTTTTAGTACCTTAGGAGCCTCAATGAACAGAGTACGTGCATCTGTCTGCTTGCCGTCATTTTGGTCTTTTAAGCCGCGTACAGGTCAAACAGCCATTTGCTGAAAGACGAAATTTTGACACGGCGCACGTGCGCACAAGGCAGTGTGCCATGGTGAGTTTCGTGCTATCGTGATCAACGTGCGGCGCGTGGTTAACAGTGGCGGATCCGGGATTATGTCAAAGGGAGCCATACAACATTGCAGACCTCTAAAAATCCTGATATTCCAGCCACCTAACTTGAAAACTCTTTAGCATGTTTTTATACCGGAAACGTAGGCATCAGCAGATGCAGGCAAGTGTGACATTGCAGGAAACGTAAGCATCAGCAGGCAAGTGTGACAACTCCAACAACCAACGGAACTGGCATAAGCGACGCCTGCGGCGTGTAGCATTGTCTTCGGCCAGTACGCGTAAAATGCATCGAGGTGGTTCTTACTGCTGCTCCAGTGCTAAGCTGCCAAGGAATGCCGTCATCGTGTAGATTTCAGACTTATGAACATGGTTTACTTTGACCAGACTCGTACGCACGAGCAGGCGAAGCGCCCTGGCGCTTTCAAGCACATCTGGTGGTTTCGGCAACAGAGTGGATCCCTGTGACTTCATCGGAAGAGCCTTCGACCAACATGGACGGCCCCGGAGCGATCAAGAGTACCCCGGCCGATTCAAAATTAGTTCCGCGTCAACGGCGTAGGCCCTGCGAGAAAAAGAGAAAACCCAAGACCAATAGGGACGACATCTGAGCAATCGGTGGTATGATGGGAGACCACCAAAGAGGATCCCGTTAACAGTGTAAGGTCTTCATTGCAAGCGAGAAGAATCCAAGACTAACGTGGTGGCTCCTGAACGATCGGGGGGTGCACTGGCAGGTTAATATAAGGGACCCAGCCAGAGCGCTGGAACCTCCGAGCAACCGGGAAGAACCCAAGGCCAGTGTACATGAAGCAATGCCCTTGAGCGATCGAGAGTATCTTAGCAGATAAACGCAAAGGCCCTGGACAACAATGTAGCGTCCTCCAAGCAAATATGAAGTATCTAAGACCATTGTAGCGATCCCCTGTGCTATCTACAGTGCCAGGGACAGTTAATAGACCGAACCCCGACAAGAGTGAAGGGTCATCCGCAAATGATCAAGGGCAACGCGGGAGGCTCCGTAGCTATCGTGTTGACCCGGCAAGTGGACGCATGGGGCCCCGGCAGCAGCACACGACTCCGAACAGCGTAAAGAGCCTCAAAATCTTTCCAAGCACCAACCTGTCAATCAGCTGAAACTTATCTGTATCTGCTCATAGTCGACCCCTTTTGACCCGCGACCATTCATGGTTGCCTGGAGGTCCTAAGACGCCCAACTTTGTTGTGTTTTGTGTTGAAGACTACGTCAGTTCTGCGAGTTCGGTCCTGCCCACTCTTTGCTTATGTCCCTCCGGGACCCAACTATGGCTCCTTGCCCCCTCCCCCCCCCCCCCCTCTTCTGGATCCGCCGCCGTTGGCGAGCGTGACAAGCTGTTTTTTTGGCACATTTATTTTGCACGGGCGGCCCGAGAAGCAGCTGGCAAGACTAGAAAAGCGACCACAAGGCTGCCCGGGCCACGTGTCACGTGCACAGCAGCGGCCAAGACGGATTTCCCCGCTCTTGACATTCTTCACGCTTTATGTCACAACTCGGCAGCCAGACCCAGTGAAGGCGAGAATCCAACTTCAAAGTGTGACCAGCATACCAACTGCAATTCGTATAGCCAACACGCGTTTGTGCGACGCATAGCTGTGCCTTTACTCATTGTGCAAACTGGGAATGTCGGCATTAAAAAAACAGCCCCCAAAGCAGCATACTGCTGTCAAAATTGTCGTCTGGTTAGAAGCGAAATTAACTTCACGTCATACGCCGATTAATTGTTTGCATTCATCAATAATTTCGTCAGCGATCTATGCATCATTCGGTTAAACCACTGACTTTACCTTAAGAGGCACGATTTTGTTTTTCTCTGTTTAGGAGTTTTGTCTTGCTTTTGTTCGTGTGCAATATTTTCTATAGATGGTAAACATGATTGCCACCACGCATGGCCGGGTTTCCTTAGGCGTGTAGAGTGATGCCCTGGCCCTCGTCGCCCCCCGTCCCCGCGTCTGACCATTCATCCCATCATGGCTCTCCTCCCTGGACCAGTCGAGGACGCAGGACGCCCCGATTCGGGCCTGGTGGCGCTGCTGCGTCACCGGCGTGGGGAGAGGGGTGTGCTGGGGCGCCGCCGAGATCAGCGCGGCGAGGGCTCGGCCGGCGGCGGCGCCCTCCGCTCGACGGGCCATTGTCAGCGGCAGACACCGCCGCCGCCGCCGCCGCCGCCGCCACCTTATGGAGAGCTGCCGATCCCTGCCGGGGTCAGCGCAGGTGGCCCCGGCCGGCATAGCGATTGACTGTGACTTTGGATAGAAAGCCGCGCGAGCTTGGTGGGATGATATCACCTGGTAATGGTAGTACGTGGTGAGCTGTTGGGCTGCCGCGAGGCTAGTTAGCATGGGAAGAGAGAGAGAGAGAGAGAGAGAGAGAGAGAGAGAGAGAGAGAGAGAGAGAGAGAGAGAGAGAGAGAGAGAGAGAGAGAGAGAGAGAGAGAGAGAGAGAGAGAGAGAGAGAGAGAGAGAGAGAGAGAGAGAGAGAGAGAGAGAGAGAGAGAGAGAGAGAGAGAGAGAGAGAGAGAGAGAGAGAGAGAGAGAGAGAGAGAGAGAGAGAGAGAGAGAGAGAGAGAGAGAGAGAGAGAGAGAGAGAAGAGAGAGAGAGAGAGAGAGAGAGAGAGAGAGAGAGACGGTTTTGGTGACTCATAACCCGTCTGGTTTCTCAATGACACATATTATCAACGACTGACAGCCCAAAATATAGACATGTCACACCATGTGTTGCAAGGAAGTTGAAACGTCTCGTCCATTTTCAAAATCCTGTTGCTGAATACCATGCTTTATGGCAACCTATTCAAACGTCTCGTCGCTGATTTACAGTGAGCACACAGCTTCTGTATCCCTTCAGGTCGTCGTGCCCTACACGGCTAGGACCTCCTGCACCGCTGTGCTGCCACCGTGGGAGGTCGGATCGGCGGTGGTTGGGCTGTCGGCACCCCTCCCCCCACTCCAAGGCGACTGCCCCATTTCCCGTCGGTTGCATCCACCCCGGCCCTGTGCTCGTCTCCACGTGAGGGCTAATCCGATCCCGCCGGCCCGCCTGCGGACGGTAGCAGGCGCTGCTGGAGGCTGCCGCCGGCTCCGACGGCAGACAACAGCGGGCGCCGCTGGAGGCTGCCGCCGGCTCCTCCAGCAGACGACAGCGGGCGCTGCTGGAGGCTGCCGCCGGCTCCCACGGCAGACGACAGCGAGCGCCGCTGGAGGCTGCCGCCGGCTCCCACGGCAGAATACAGCGGGCGCCGCTGGAGGCTGCTGCCGGCTCCCACGGCAGACGACAGCGGGCGCCGCTGGAGGCTGCCGCCGGCTCTCCAGCAGACGACCGCGGGCCGCTGGAGGCTGCTGCCGGCTCCTACGGCGGACGACAGCGGGCGCCGCTGGAGGCTGCCGCCGGCTCCTCCAGCAGACGACCGCGGGCGCCGCTGGAGGCTGCCGCCGGCTCCT